GCCCCTCCCCCCTGCTCCGCCCCTGATCACTCCCTACTACCTCAATAGGGGGTGGGGCTGGCCAGCTCACCACCCACAGCCCCTCCCCACAGCCGGCCCCACTCCCAATTGCCCCCCCCACCCCAATCGGGGGTGTGGCCTGCCGGCCAATCACCCTCTGATCCTCCCGGCAGCTGGCCGGGCCCTGATTAACCCCGATTGGGGCAGGCTGGCCAGCCAACCTCCTGTTGTTTCCTCCTCCCGACAGGCCCAGACCCAGTCCACCCAGATTGGAGCCAGGCTGGCTGGACCCCACCTGTGCATGAATTTGTGCACTGGGCCTCTAGTTAGTCAATAAAAATCTTTACTGATTTTAAAACAAGTATTTCATGATGATTTTACCATTTTTGTAGAAATGAATGCTCATTGGGAATTCTGACTTTTAATGTAGGAATTGATTAGTAAAATTCATTCATTTCATCAGCATAACTGATTATGCTTTAAGTAAAATATATTTTCTCTTATTAAGTAATCCCAAATGTTGTTGGTCATTGAAATGTAAAAGTTAGTTATTTAATAAAAAATAATGTGATGCAAATGACATATTTAATATCGTTTACAAAGTATTTTTTAAAATATTAAAGAAAAGATGTTATGTTAGATGCAATTAATATTAAATAAAAGGTATTGCAGACAAATGATTTTTAGACTTATTTCCACATCTTAAGTTGTACTGTGTATCATACCTTCTGTGACAATCTTTTTTTTTCAATTATTGGCTCTTTTTGTTGTTTATGATCTAAATGCTAGAAGTATTTTAATATTTAAGGACAAAGGAAATGATACAGATGTTGATATAGAAGTTAGCACTATAGAAACAAGCAGATTTAACATATAGGTGGACCTTTTAAACTGTCTCATTAAATGAGTTGCTAAAATATGACATTGTTTTAAACTGAATACCATTGCATTATTAAGTTCCATTATGTCATCTGGCTGCCCATATCTGAACTGTATCCGGCACGGCCAGGGGTGAACATAAGCAGGGATGGTGAAGGATTAAAGAAAACAGACAAGAGAATACAGTTGGGACTAGGTGGATCACTGGGCCTGGATAAGGAAACAGTGACACAGCCTGTAAGCCAAAGCTTTATTTTATAGTCTGATCACACAAAGCAAAACAAGGGCAAGATGTTTACAATGTTCTTGCGAATTTCAAATCTGCTTCTTTCCTGTTGTTGCCATTCTCTGAACTCTTATCAAGCTTTGTTTAGGCAGCACTTAGTGATCTAGGAATGCAGGGTTGGACTATAAGGTTGAGCTTACAATCATAGTCTTTTGGCTATAATTGTGCTGGGAGAGCTTTGCCCTACAAGCTGGGACTTATATGTGGCTTGGCCACAAGTCAGTCCAAGGCTTGAATTTCTCCGAATGCTATAGCCGCTCTCCACACAGATATTAAAAAAATATTTGTTAATTGAAAACCATTACCCAGTTTTAAGTATGCACAAAAGATAGATTGACTAGCCATTCAATTTTTACTTAAAAACAGAAAAGGATTATCTAGGAGAGAGTTGTTCTAAAAAAATTTTTCCTGGTCTCACGGTAAGAACAAATGTTGATATCCTTGGAATTAATATGTAAAAGATATGATTGAGATAACTCATTCCACTTTTTTTTTTTGTAGAAAGATGCTGAATTTCAGGAGCATGACAAGTTTCTGTCTCCAGATTTTCTCTCAGTTGCCCAAATCACTGAAATTCTAGCAGAGGACATAGATGGAGTTCAACAGTAAGCACTTCAATATTACAACCAAATGCAGAACAGTTCTAGCTCTGCATCTATAAATGACCATAATATTCTACTACACATTTTAAACTTTTTTCTAAATATA